CCACCACTGCCGCTGCCGCTGCCACCAATCTTGCTGCTCATTCTGTCGCTACTGGTCGCCAAAAATACAAGGCGATCACAAACATCGCTTTATCCCATCCTATCCCATCAACTCCGAAATTAGAAGACTGAAGCTTCAACAACTACCACTACGGCTACTGCTGTTGTGGCCGTGGTCGCTGCAATCATTCCAACACAGGTTGGTTCTGTCCGCGCTATTTCTGTTTCTGGGAGGGTTTTTGTGTTGGGAGTATTGCTAGAATTATGGAGTAGTGGCTTCCGCAAGGTTACCATCATGGAGTTACACATGATGACTTTTCTGCATGTGCTTCGCAGATGTTTCTACATTTTACTGTCATTGTATCGCATGATGTCTTCGATTATGATGAGGGTGCTTACATTTTTGTGGATGCAGGCTCAGGCAGCCAAAGAGGCTGCGGCCGATGAAGTTCCGCTGGACCGCCCGGGATGATCATGTGATGGTGACGGACATGATGTCATTATTTTAGGAATTGGACTATGGAACCATCCCCAGCCCCAAATGCCCAACTTTGCATTCCAGAGCCTTTCGACCCGAAAGCCTGAAACCCTGAAGCGCTGAACCCCAAAGCCCGGGAGTGTAAAGCCTAAATCTCGGACATATCCTTGGTCAGGAGGAGGACGAGGAGGAGGAAGAAGAGACCCTGGGCACAGCCTCACGCGAGGCGTTAGCGACGCTTGTCTCATCAAGAAGTCGCATCAGAGGCGCAGCAGAGAGAGGCTTGGACGCTTTCGGTTGCCGGGGCGGTTCTACTAGTACTGCTTTGAATAGTTACCCAATCTCTTGACAGAGCCGCTAATCGACATCAACGTTACTCTCGCAAATCCATAGAATCTTCGGGTGCTCCTTCAAAGTCCCCAGATCCTTATGCCATTTCCTGACACATGCTCTGAACCCCAAGCCCCTTGCTCTCTGCTACGGCCATGTGGGACCTACCATGCCTACCCGAACACCTGTATCTTAAATCCTCTACTCCAAGGCTGTGCGCACAGCTGGCAGCTCTGGACGAAATGCCGGACCTGGCGGACGCCGAGCAGGAGGCTGGCTTTGTCCTGCATGAATTGCGCCTCAAGATTCAAAAGCTGATGTGAGAGAAAGAGAGGCTTTGGCTTCAGGGGACGGCGTTCGGGGTTTAGGGTAGCGTAAGTGCCAGGGTGAAGCATCGAGGGCCGAGGGTTTACTGCACACGTTCCAGGGTACAGGGGTTAAGGTCTAGGGTATAGGCTGTACATGGCTGTACACGGGGAAGGGACGGAAACGACTTCAAGGGATTGTTATGAGGATTACAATCACATCATTGTCAGGATGCACGTCTTGTCCACATGCCACCTGGCATATGACTAATTGGCTAGTTGACCGACTGACCGGCTGGCTGGCTGACTGACTGGCTTCCGTGATTGGGCTGACTGATCGGGCTAAGCTCCATCTTTACGGCTAGGCAAGTCCCGGCAAACTGTGGAAGCCAACTGTGCGAGATGCGGGTGCCAACGCCTGTAAAAAGAGGGAGAGAAAAAAGACAGAAGATGAGGAGGGGCAGGGAAGGGTTGCTGTGAAGGGCATTTACTAATTCATCCTTGCACAGAGCCTGTGCTACGGGGCGAAGCCCAGTGGACCGTGCGCAGCACATAGAAGAAGAAGAAGAAGAAGAAGAGAAAGCAAGAAAGCAAACACTGGCAGGAAGAGTTGAACGGCATGCTCTTGGCCACGCTGGGTCCTGGCAGGCGCATTGTCATCATTGTCGTTTGGGTTGGCTGTCCCGTGCAAGCAAGAGTAGGCTGGACTATGAAGGCCAATGGATTTTGGTTAACACTTGCTCCAAAATAGGTTCCAATAGTTAAATCTATGCGTTAGCCTGGCAGTTGTAAGTCCCCGACATGAGGAGGCTAGCTGCGAGCTCTTTTGAGATCACCGGGGGCAAGTTGTTGAGAGTGAACTTTGATATACTATAATCTAGAATTTACTATTATACCATAGTATAATATAATGTACCATCAGATTCCGCGATCCCGTCAGAGTGAAGTGGCTTAGAATGTCTTCGCGGTTGGAGGCTGCTTGGAGAACTGGCCATTGTGGATAATAAAACACGCATGGCGACGGCTGCCCCTGGGTGGCAACGAGACCTTGCCCATGTGTAATTATTAGTCCACCCCTCTTCCCATCAAGTGTTCTTTATCGAGTTTGTATTCCATGGATAAGGAACGCAATCGGGCTCTATCAGGGGGATGTGCTTCCTCTCCCCATCCATCCCCTTTCGCACCCTTGTAACTTCAATGCGGTACTATGCAAGCCTACCCTAAACGAGGTCCCAAATCTCTGGGCATGGCACCCTTCAATCCCAAGTCAAGACACTTAACGCGAAACTTAAGCTCCTCTTCTTAGGAGAGCATGCAATGGCACTGGCTCAAGCCTGGGTCCTCACTGTTCACAATGGATTTCACGTTAAGTCCTTGCCAACAAAATGGGCGTACTCGTGGCCGCGACCTAGCTACAGCTCCTGATGCATGCCATACGGTCCTAGACCCGGTAGTAAACATCCAAGAATCATTTTCGATTTCCCGAACAAGCCAGTTGCTGATCTCTTCTAACGGCTCCATCGCTTTGCTCACCCAAGGTTTGCCGAACCGCGTGCAACTCCGACTGCTTAAGGCGTGCGTGCTTACCCCCAGAACAACTCACAGTATGAAAGTTGCCATCCTTACGAGTAGGTATGCCTATGTATGCGCATGCAAGCCTGTAGCAAATGTGGTGCCTGTGTCAAATCTTTCCATCTTATGCAGAAGACTGACGTCAAATACACATACGTCCATGCGAATTGCATTGGTGCAGAGTCCTAGCTTCAGTATCCCTGCATGGGCCAGACACAGCCGAGGCAAGTTCCTGACAATTGAGCGGGCAGATTTTTTGAATTGTCAGTCCATGGCTCAGCTGCATGTGCTCGCTTGGTTGAGCACGACCTTTGGGCCTTAGAGTGTATGGAGTGACTGCAGTTTCCGAGAATAAGGGAAAGCTTAGTAAAATTATGCGCTGGGATATCCTAGTGGTTTTTGTGGCAAGCTCCCATGTAGTCCAATTTGAATCCAGAATCTTCAAATCCATGGACAGGCTTGCAATCCTTGTCTGAGGTGTGCCCTGATAGATGACCTGGATGATAGGCTCGCCTTCCTGAGGGCAACAGAAGCTGGGCTCAAGCGATGGGCCTTGAACATGTACTATATTGGGTTATACAGGGGTTATCGGGTTATATTGGGGATCTAATGGGGTTATATTGGGGTTATATTGGGATCATGGAAAATAAAGTGGAAGCTCCTATTTGGATTGCAGAGGTTTCTGACACTTAGGCGTCCAGCTTGGTAGTCTGCGGGCCTGATGTAAGGATTTTACCATCTGAAGTTGGATCCGCTCTGCCCAGTGGCTTGTTGAGAGTTGCATGGCTTTCGTTGCACACCTAGGTTCCTCCGCTCAGAAGCTTGTCGAGGGAAGTTGAGCATGCTGCTCTCTACTGTTGCTGGGACCGGTTATCATTCCAACCATGCGCTGCTATACACTCTGATGTGCACCATTTTCAGGGTAACTTGTAGTGTGATTACTTCATTCTTGGCTAGATGAACCACTTGCAAGTTCTGTGCCTTTAGGATCAATGCATCCAGCCTTCACAGCAAGGAGGCCCCCAGCCTGAAACCTAAACCGCACATCTTTGCGCCATACACCATCCCCAGTGGGCGTGAGATGTTCAATGGCTTGCTCGAGACGATGCTAGACTTTGTCAACACTAACGATAAGGGGGGCAGACAAGTTTTGCCTTCGAAGGGAGCCAGGGGAGTGAGCCATCCAGTACGATGTAGATGAGGGGACCTGGAAAGATGCTGTGAGTGCTACATCAGTCGCAGGCAGAGGGAAGTGTCGGATCCTGTCCAAATAAACAGGACAATCTGCCTGTAGGGGCAGGAGGAGCCCCGAAAAGGCCAACCCTAGTCACTGAAGGCGGTCAAAAACATACTCAACCCCAAATCCTAAATGTACCTGCGATGCCCGACAATTCCTGTTAGTCTGGAACTCCTGCAAGCTGTGAATTCGTTCTGGCCTGTGATTCATGCAGGATTCGTGCGTTGGGGACGAGTTGCCGTGTAGCATGCAAAGACAGCACAACCTGTAGCTGACTGGTACCTCGGAGCGAGTACATAGGGGATTGCTTCGGGGATTAAACTGAATTTAGCTGAGCTATGATTGGTGCTCCTTCCAGGTGTACATACTCTAGCAGTCCTGAGAGATATGCATGAGATGCTGGATTGAGAACCTTCAGCTGCCCTGCTCGAGCCATGCTAGGGGCAAAACTGGCTTGCTGTTAGGGAATTTAAATCCACTTACTATAAAAAGGTAACCCTTTTATTTACTATATACCCATATGATGGCAAATTAATGTAAGTACCTTAACAGCAACCCAGCAAACCTCCAGGCTTTGAGGAGCAGACCTTCGCCTTGAACCACGTGTTCTTCCAAGAAGGCGGTGCAGGAGATCATGGGTTCCTTGGAGAGTTATGGGGACTTAGTAAGTAGGTTAACCCCCCCTGCCATATGAGCCATAGTCTAAACTCCTGAAAGGGGGTTATATAGGGGATTATATAGGGGACTACTATAGGGGTTATTAAGGGGTATACTAGGAGTTTAGACCATAGCTCATATAGTAAACCCACGTATCCCCATTATTAGCCTACTTTCTGAGTCTTCCTGATCTTCCAAGTCAGGGTCAAGGGCTTCGGGTAGAAAGGAGAGTTTAGGGATAAGGGTACAGGGTTTAGGCTAAACAGTTTAGGGTCTTATTGTGGTGACGAGTTCAGGGCATAGTAGAGGGTGAAGTGAAATGGGTAATGGATGATAGGCTTTTGGATAGAGGGTTTGGGTTTGGGGAGTTCAGTGTAGAACGTGGCCCCGTAGATTCCCTCAATTGAATCAGACATGTGTCACGAACTTGTTTTTTGACATCATTGCATACTGTAGCCCTTGCTGTCTCCGTATGACCTCTTTTTAAACTGCGCAAGGGGTTGCTGTACTGTAGTTGGAACTTGTATTGTTGAGACGCGCACCTAGATTGCGCCAGCTCCACAAATAGGGGCTACTACTGGGATCCATTACTCCATTCCCCGTTTGTTGCTAACAATAAGCATGTACTTCAATCTCAAAACTCCGGATCTTTGTCCCTGCAATTAGGATAGATTTGGGTGCTAATGTTTGGAGCATCTAGGGGGTACGCAAGATACTCGCATGGTGGCAGGAGATGGATCCATCTACGTCATACGTACTGGTGCTGTGGAGCTCCTTTGCCGTGAAGGGCCCGTCCACAAGCAGGCCCTCAGACGTGAACCAGGGTTGAGTTGAGTTTTAGGCTTAGGAGTGTTGAGGAGTTCGGCTTCGAGTTTAGGGTTCAGGGTTTAGGGTTCTGTTTGCCGAGACGGCAAGCATTTATTGCCAAGCGGCGTGGTCGATCTTGTCTCCCTATGCACTGTTACGCTGTCAGTCGCTTTATCATCATTATCATTTCAGTCCTGGGAGGAGCCCAAAGACGCGATCGGTTGAGAAAACTTGCTGCGTCTGTCTCTCTGACTCCCTTTGTGTCTCTTTTCCTCCCTCCCTCCCTCCCTCGCTGTCCCTCCCTCGCTCTCTCTCTCTCTCTCTCTCTGTCTCTGTCTCTGTGTCTGTCCCCATCGGATTTACGATTTACGCGGATATGACCGGCCCATTGTCATGCATCTAGTAGGTTGTAGTTGCATTCGTGAAGCCACAAGCCATTACACAGTTCAGATGAGATGTTCGCTAGGCGGTTCCACGTGCTGGGCTTCACCGCATGTCCCTCCTGCAGGAGCCCTGGTTGAGATCTACAGGTGTTCAGGGTTGCGGGTTTAGTTGTGACCTGAACCTAAGGAAGTTCTCCGGAACTTGGGGATTGTATGGCATTGCGCTGCTGTCATTTGGACAGTTTACGCGCCTCATGAAGAATTTGCAAGGTGACCATGTGAACAAAAGAGACAGATGGCAAAGAGATGCCTTCTTCATTCCTCTGCTGTCTGTTGTGGTGGTGTGCAAACTGGATTGCATCGGTACGTGTTTTGCGAATGCTTCTCTCATTCGGGCGCTGGTCCCTATGTGTCGTGAAGATTTCTGCATCCTCCGCAAGCGAAGCTTCTCTTGTTGATGTGCCTGCCAGGAGGGGGCCTGCTTTGCCTCGTCATTCACCAAAGTGGCAGAGGAATTCACAGCAGCTGTGGCTTCTACACCTTGCAAGGCTTCCTCAGCCTAGCTTCAAAGGGTTTGATGTGATGGCACGCAGACCGTGAGGGTTCCGTGCAAGCTTATCACACAGCTTTCATCATTCGTAGCTGCACGTTGCAGGTGTACCGAGTCCGCCGGACAAAGATAAGGCACTTGCCTTATTCATTTCGGCAGAGCCTGGAGACATGGGTGGAGAAGATCATGAACAGTCGAGTTCACTTATGCAAAGGCCGGCGAAGCGACATGCTGCACAGTACGCCTCGCATGTCAACATGGTATGCTAAGAAGACTAACTGCACTCTCCCATGCACAGGCGTGCCGCCTGAGCATCCACTGGTGACAGCCATTCTGGATCCACCCAAGAAGCGGCCGCAACCGCGGAACTCACTTCTGGATACAACGTCCCGACCGCTGCTGGGTTCCTCAGCCCACATTTGAGGTTGACACCAAAGCTGGTACTAGCGGGAACAACATGACACGGCGCCAGCCCGAGGAAAGATGCGCAGCATCCAGGTGCAGAGTATCTCAGCTGAATTGGGGCGCCTGTGCTGCGTCGGCTTCTTCGATCCGGATACCTTCGCAGGTCTTCCCGATTTGCGCGGGAAGCCACCTCCTGGAAGGTGCTTTGGCAAAAGGTGATTCTTAAAACTCTGAGCCTTGAGCGAGTCGGCTTTGGTCACCGAGTAAGGATGCACGAGAAGGGCTCCTCAAAGGGGAGCCTTAGCTGCCTCTAGCTGACTTGGAGTGGGCCATGTTTTACCAGTTTAGCAGACTTGGAAGCCTCTAGCTTCAAAAGCTTAGCATCCCTTGGCCAGTTAGTTGCTTTGAGGAAGGGCTTCTTGCCCCTCGTGGAGATACATCACAGAGAGACGGAACTGCGACCTGCTGAGGTGGGAGCTGTGTAGAATGATGTAGAATGTTTGTTCGGCTTGTGCTCCTGGGTGAACATGAGACTGGAAAGTGTTGTGGCCGAAGGTGAGAAACCGTGGCATGCTGAGCGCTGGCGAGATGCATGAGCATCTTGATAGCAGACCGTGTTTGACTATTGTTTGTTCTTTTCTTTACCACTGCGCCCTCACATGCAAGTGTGCTAATTGCTATTCTTGCAGTTTTGCCTTGAGGCTTTGGCGATGCGTGGAATTGCAATATGCTCCGCCTTCTGGAATGTGGCCGCGTAGAAGACTGGCCTACTGCCTCACGACGCGTCCGGACTTCCAGACCCCTGTCGGCACTCGGCAGCTAGCAGCACTCCAGTAAGCAGCATGCTGGAAGTCTAGAAGAAGTGTGAACCAATTTTCTGCGCCAGCAGGGAAGACAAGTGGCGGCAAGTCGATGCTTGGTAGCACGCTGTGTGGTCACTGCACGTCTATTCCCATGCAGATCAGCAGTATGCCAAAAGCAGACTTCACCAGTGGTGATGATTTCGCATCATCTGGCTCATGTTGTAGCAGTTCATTCAGCTAGTCAAGAGATTGCTCATCTGTGATCCAGCTGCCGTGTTCGTGATTGTTCTCAGTACGAGATTCTCTGCTTGTTAGGACAATGCCCAAGTTCTGACCCCTGATGACATGTTGTTCCAACAGTTTCTGCCTGTACTACAACCTTAGAGTTGTTAATACTCTCATCAGTTGCATTCTGTAGTATGCCTGCTTAGTATATGTACTGAAGCTGAGGCTCACGAATGCGCCACTCCGTTTGCACCGATTCCCCGTGAAACCGTCGAGCTGGTAACGTTTGTCCTAGACAAATTCGTTGCGATGTGAGCCACTCCTAGTCTGTGGTCTCACAGAGATCCCTCTTTAGGGTTTCAGGTGTAGCTGGATCTTATATCTGCCAATACTCTGTTCTTACTAATTAATGGAGAATTAAATGGAAAAGACAACGACCCCAACTAACGTCCTCGGAAGAGTTTGTTTGCAATGAAGCGTGGGATCGACTGCCGACTGTATGACGGACGTCGGATGCTGTCAAGTGAGGTCTCCTTTCTGTCTTGCTTTAGTTGTAGTGAAGCCATCACAACTCAGCCATCAATGTACATGTGGCTACCATGTAATCAATGATTACGTCTGTTCTACGCGCATGCTTGTCAACATGCTCGCTGCGTGCATATCAATTTTGAGGAGACATGGGTATGTCTTTTCCTTATATAATATAACTATATATGTATATGCACGCATGTTGTTTTTCTAATGGTTTATGGGTAGCGTCTAAAAAATGAGAGCAACACTCAGACATGCCGCGCTGACACTTATGTACGCTTGCTGGAGAGTGGTGTTTTACTGACTTATTTAATATGGCAAGTCTCACGCATTGTGGAAGGATCGCGTGTGTAGAGCGTTTAGACTACACTTTGCTAATTATTCAAGTGCTTCGTCGGAGCAGACATAGAGTGCCGTTTCAGCTCTAGCCTCTATCGCGCCGCCTGTTGTTTGATATATCCGTATCAGTGGTATCAGTGCACAGAAGGCATTTCGTACATTGCATGCAAGCAAGTTGAGATCTTGCGCACGGTGCATGATTGTACAGGCACGACTCTTTGCAATGCGGCGTTGATGAAAATTATGTGTCTTCAGGGGTTATGCTGGAGCGTTTCTCAACATGATCCTCGTAACCTGCTGGCGTAGCCCCATAACCTGCGTATGGCCTATCCGCGCAGTTTCCAGCATGCTCTTATTCTGAGTAACCCCATGATTCTTCGCAGGGGTTGTTTCAGACTTCAGGTTCAAGATTGTCAGAAGATGTTGTAAGTGAATAGCGTCCCAACCTCGACAGGTCGCTTGAAGTATTGAGGGTTTAAAGTTGTAGAATCACATCGAAGTCAACGTGCAAATGACATGTGCACTTGGATTACGCGGGAAAAATCGGAAAAAAACCGAAGGATTGCAGTGGTTATGGGGATCTCTTCCCTGAATGATAGCCCGCCCGGACAAAACACATATCCTCCTGTACATATATATATATATACATGGTTACACGAGTCATAGCAGGACAATTTGTCATTCGGAGGCGGCCGGCTTTTCATTGGGGAGGTGATTTGTACATGTTACAGGAAGAAGAAGGGGGCATGTTTTTTGTCGAAGGATTGTTCGACAGCACTCTTGTTCCCATGATTCTGGTGGCTTCTGGGCAACAGTGGTTTGTCCCACCTGGTTTAGGCTAGCGGCTAGCACTGGTGCTTCTTTTGGGTACTGGCTCTTGATTCTTGATTTGCATAAACTTGCCTTGGTTATTGTTGCCCGGTCCCTAAACCCCAACCCTAAACCCGCCCTAAACCGGCTAGCCTTTCGAGGAAAGGTCCAATAAAACCAAAAAAAAAGCTAACCCGGATTCCAGGCAGACCGCGGATTCTGAATGGAAGAGGTCTGCTTCGGTCCTCACTCCATGGAACTGCTGCAAATGCAGCCAAAGCGACCATGCAGAAAAGAGGCGCAGAAGAGTTTTGAACTGGTAGCAACACAGGCTTGCCATGCGCTGCCATAGGTCTGGTATCCGCAGACCACATACTGTATACTACTTTGCGTTACCAGTCGTACTCATAGCACTACCAGTTTCTCTACCTGTAGCAGCAACGGAATAAGTAGTAATCGTCCACGGTGGTCTCGGACTTGGAGTATGATAATGGCAGCTATCATGCTATCACAGCCATGACCTCCGGCTGTGATGGCTGCTATCTTTGTTGCGATCCCATGAGGTCCAGGAGCTACAGCAGGGCCTCGCATCAGCGACACCCGGCGGCAAGCTAGAAGAAGCGCAGAGAGGGCTGTTTCGCTCGGTGCGTGCATGCCTGTAGAGTGCATCCCTAGGCTTTGGTATACGTTCAGGTTGAAATGTTCGTAGGTGACCTGCTGCGGTCGAGCTTAAAGACCAGGCCTTGTAGTGGCCTTGTTGTTTCTTCGTTTGTTGCTAGCACCCATACTTTTCCTATCTTTGCCTACCCCCTACTTCTCGTACGAGTACGTACTAGTTACCAGTGTACAAGTGAGTAGTCGTAATGACATACTAGTTGTCACCATTCTCAATAGTAGTACTCACAATATCACTTTTCTCGTCTCTC